ACACATACACACACTACCACTCTACACACAAAGAGGCTTACCTACACTCTACAACTATAAGTTAATGATTTGTGATCTTTTTGTATACAGTGAAAAGTAAATCTTAAAGGGAAGAGTGTTGCTGTCTGAAAGACAGATATTAAGTTATCTAGTTCAGACACAGATGTTCACTGAATTGTATTTATTGTTAAGCTGTATCTTAAAGTGTTTGTATCCTAGAAATTAAGATATTCTTTGTTTGTTTGAATAAAATTATTATTATTATTAGGGGTTATTGACAGAGTATTCACATCTGGTTGGGCTGGATAAATATATAAAAGGAAATGAAAAATTAATAAATAAATAATACATAAATAAATAAAATCCCAACCAGACGGAAACCCTCGGCAGGGGAGACCAAACGGCCGAGGGTTAGGAGGAAAGGGAAAGAAACCGGCGGACGATGCGGGCGGTTATCGAGGAGCACCGCCTTCTGCATTTGAGCCCGGCGCGTTCCGTCACGGAGTCCAAGTCGCCTCAGATGACCCGAGAGGCTGACTGGGATTAGCCCATTCGCAGAGACGACTACAGGAATAATTTCGGTCGGCAAACCACCCTTCATGTCGGTCACCTCGTGAGCCAGGTCCAGATATTTTGATTGCTTATCTGTTTCGGCTTTCACGAGGTTCTCGTCATACGGAATGGTAATATCGACCAAAAATATGCTTGACTGTGCCCGCTCCATCAGCACAATATCAGGCTTATTCGCAAGAATAGTCCTGTCTGTGATGATGGCCCGTTCCCAGTAGCCTAATATATATATATATATATATACAATATGTAACGTAATTAACGCACTCCCTCAGACACCCCAATTAGTATATTATGTTATAATCATAATAAATACACTGAATTTTTAGTTAAACACTTTTATGCACCGATTATTTATCAAATTAGTTATACTAATTCCGGAAGAATGTTGTGGTCACAGTACAAATCCACGAACGCAAAGACTTTAACGTGCTTGAAAAAAGCTCATTTTTCTTTATTTTATTGAATGACAGAATTAGTAATAATACAAATAAAACTGCACTCTTAAAAGTCTTATTGCCTTAAGTTACGGTCCATTTCAGTTTGTTTTGACTGTACAGATTTAGTGTGACTGTAATTTACGTAGTTTTAATTATTTTTGGGATAAAAAAATTACCTATATTATAAATTATAGGAATCGATTCAGTAAACGATTCTGAACAAACTACTTTCTCAAAGTGCGTTAATTACGTTACATATTGTATATATATATATATATATATATATATATATATATATATATATATATATATACAATAATATACGAATACAAATAATATAATAATATTTTTTATTTTATATACCAAGGCTATGAACGTAATAAAATTATTTTGTTATTGGATATCTTAAAAGATCGCAATCGACTAAGCACTTGCGCTTGCACCTTCAGTGGGCTTTCAATGTGTGTGTAAAAACCATTAAAACTGTCCGGCTCTTGAGGTAACATTTTTTTATAGGTCCCCAAGTAACATATATAAAATTTAGCTTTTATACAGTAACAAAAGTATAATTATAATTTATTAAAGTTTAGGCGTGTCCGGGAGGGGGTAGCAAATGTCATAAATGTCGGGCAATGATGACGAGATTTTTAAAGTTATTCTGAACAAGATATAAAAAAATTGAGCTATATACTTACTACTACGTACTATTTTATGCACCTTTACTATCTGCTACCCGCTCAAGTAACCACAACCTAAACTCTATAGTCGCTGGTTGTTCTTACCTGTATAGGGGACATGCACAGGAAAACTTTCAGCTTTTATAAAATAACGAAGTTCTGGCCGTCGTGGGCTCTTACTCTAATAGTTATATAGAAAGCGACCAATAATTTATTTTTACAGTATTTAGACAGAGGTTTTAAGTTTTAATCATTTCTTATGAATTATCTTTTGCATATACTGGTGTGTAATGAAGTAAATTGGTTGACAGAAGTATTACCTAGGATATCAAAACAAATTTTATATAAAGTTATTGTTATTTTATTGGAAAAAAAAACCTGAACACAAAATAGGTCTTATATTATTAAATCTGCAGTGTAGTTTTTAAAATATCAAAAAAATTATAATGACCATATTTATAGTTGTCTTTTGCTAAATTACAATATTAAATATTTGTATTTATATGGAAGCAGCCATAAAAGCTAGAAGTTTTTAGTAAAATATTTATTTGAAATATTAGGTATTTTATTACAAAACGAAAAAAATTAGCAAAAAACTGAAGACAACACAAAGGTTACTTCAAAATACTCAGCATGATTGTAATAAATCATTGAAGTCAAAGTAAATTATTTTTACACTGCAAACTTCTAATTACTCCTGCAAAATAATCAAACAATGGTGGTTCAATCATCCACAACAATGAAAGTTATTATTACCAATCAGTCATGTTATCCTTAGAAACTATGATGTTAAACTGAACATAAGTGGTAAAAGATAATTGTTTCTCGCCAAAATCAAACAAACAACACTAAAAAGTATGCAGTTTTCTGCTTTTTTATTGCAAGATTTTGAAATTTTAAGTACCCAGGTAAAGGACTTTTATTAATAATTTTCATTTTTATTGTAGTCCTGTTTCTTTTGAGACCGAGATATTGCAAGGTGAACCCTAATTATTTTGTGACCTTGAAACAATAAATGCATTTAACCACCACCACAGGCGTATTCAGTTAAGGACAGATTATGTTAAAATAATAATATTATTTTAACTGTCGAAACTATCTAACCAAAGTAACATAATAAGTATATAAAATTCAGCTTTTATACTTTAATGTAAATACAGTTACAAATTATTAGTTTAAGGGTGTCCGGCAAGGGGTTTCCACTATACTAATTATCTGGCAACAGATGATGTGATTTATAATTTTATTCCGAAGAAAATATGTGATAATTCTGCTTTATACTTTAACAAATTTAAGCTGCTATTTTATATACCTTTGCTACCTGTTACCCGCCAAAGTCATGATACTCAAAACTTCATAATAGCCCATGGAGCAACTTTCGGCTTATATAAAATAAAGAGTCTGCCATTCACGGGCTCTTTATTACGTGATTATTACACATTGAATAAAACTATTTTTATAGATTTTATTGTGTTGAATTTTAGGCCCACCTGGCCTTGATTGAGGCTAGGCGAGGCTATTGGAATTTAAAAACCTTCATATTTCAGTAGAGAAGATGGATGGGTGCTGCCATTTGCTTGGGTTCCTATAATAAATAAAATATGCAAACCCAAGCATACCACTGCAAGTCTTCAAGATATTGTGAGCCGTTCTGCGTAGATCAAACCAAAAACTAATATTCAAAACTTAAAGTAGCCGAGCTAACTATGAGATCTGAGTTGTTAGCCATCTCAGTCCTCCCCATAACCATGGATGCTGTAACAAACCCAAAATGTCTGGAATAAAATAATATTCTATCTAGATCTAGGCTGTTTTAATTATTAGCTATGGAAGAGCAAAGTCACCTCTTATACTCATTATTGCTTACTAAGAATTGATTTATATAACACTAGATGAGTGAGATGAGTAATAACCGCGCCAAAGAGTTGCCGTTGCACATATGGCCACAGCCATATGCCTAGCTAACGTGAGGTCATTGTTCAATGTGACGCCGACAGAGTTGAGCCGCGACAAAAATGGGTAAATGCATAGTGAAAGAATGCTATTCAAGGTCACAAAAACGTAATAAATCAAGCGGAATCACTTTCAACACATAACTTTTAGTTCTTGTTTTCATATAAATGTAAAAAACCACAAATAATGAAATAAAATTATCGAATATTGCCATTTAGGTTCAATGTTGCCACTTTTCCGCATTTGTGATTATCCTACATTAATGGGAGACTATATAATTAATGGAGTAAGTTAATTTGTTACCTCTGATTTTAAATATTTTCAAATCATAATAAAAACTACATTTTAACTTTCATACAAAATAATTAATTATTCTTATTTTAATTTATTCATGGATTATCTATTAAATATATTTTATTACCTATTTTATATTAATAATTTTATATTAATTATAATTTCATATAAATTTTATATTAATTATATTTTATTACCTATTTTATATTTTTTGATTTATTAGTACCATAAAAATACATTTTATTTCATCATTATGTTTACTTCTATTCATCTGATAAGCTTTGTATCCTTTTTTTTCTAAGGGGCCGTAATAAAGATTTTAAAATAAAATATACTTTTTTAATATAAAAACAATTAACTGCAGCTTAAAAAAACTCATTTTTATTGCGTATTTTAGGTAAAATTTCATATAGTAATTTCATATAGCCACACCAACCCGCCATTGCATGTTTTTGTGTCTATCTTTATCTAATCTTAGCGACGATATTGTTTTCGCAACTTGTGTAAGTGAGATAGATATATGTTTACTTAAAATTGTTATTAGTTTCAAAGCTACGTCGTCGCGTTTGGATAGTGGTTACACTTTTTTCGACTCGCGGTAATGTGGTTTGCTCCTCTAGTGTTGTATCTATCTAGTGCTCTATGTTACTAAGTGACTGATCACTGTTCATAAAATGTAATTTTAATATTTGATGGAATAATTTAATTTAAAACTATAAATCCTTACTTACAGTACACTAATGAATATTTTTAAAACAAATATCTCGAAGGCTAGCCATTTCTGGAAGCCATGGGATGATAATTGAGGATTACTATATGAGTTATAAAATTAAGATCTATCAATCCATAAAGATTAAAATTCTCAAGTTGCTTGTAGTTTTTTTTTTGAATGTCTAACTAAACTATAAACTAACTAAAGGTCAGCTACATCATTAAAACTATCACAAAATATGAGAAATATAACCTAAAATAAATTGAAGGATCATAGTTACAAGAAAAGTACATGAATATTAAATATTTTAATAAGCTGCCACTATGACAACTTAGGGCAACAAAAAAAACTTACATCAACCTCTTCAGCATTTGCCCTGATTGATTCTTCAGTACTGTTATCACTAGTCACCAATCTATTTTCTCCAGTGTCACTGGAACTTACTTCCTCGCTCACACCAGACATTTTCTAAATCTTTTAAATATTCACTCTTTTCGTAATATTAATAACATGAGATAAGTTTACACAAGACAAATCAGTGTAAAATTTTACATCAATATCAATTTTCTATTATCACATAATAGCAGACACTGGCAGATACAAGCAGAGCAGACAGCAGCGGCACAGATCACAAAAGCAGACACAATGTTGCCAGTTGCCACATTAGCATGAATTATGATGAATTAGTGTAAGTCTCTAGACTGCCATCAAAAAGTCCCTAGTTATAAATGAATTTAGTAACAAAAAAAATCCCCAAATGAAGCTTATTATAATTTTTAGTAAAATTATATTTCGCGACATTTGGGGACTTTTTTGTTATATATATTGTGACGAGCTTGAGGTTTGTGACAATTAAAATCTGCCGATTGAATTACCAAAATTTACACTTTAATTTTCTTTACACCAATTAAAACTTAAAACACTAATAATTAATCACAAAGATTCACTTTATTTCGCTCCGAAGCTTCGCTTGTCTCGCCAAATTCAATTCTGCCCCGATCGCGGCTAGCAGTGGCTGTATAAAGGGCTCTTCCACGAAAACATTCAGAATATTCCAGTAAATAAGGGGCCCCAAACGACCAGGCGCAGAAAGTTCGAGTGTGGGGCTTCTAGAAAGCTTAGTTCTTCAATTCGATACTAGATGGCGCTGTTGGTTGAAAGATTAGTCATGGCATTTTATGGAAAGCTCTCCTCGCTCTGTTACCCGACACTAGATGGCGCTAGTGCCAGGTACCAGCCGTCAACTTAGGCGCGCAACAATACCAACACTTCTCTTCCCTCACAACTCCACCTCTGCTTCTGCAGCTATAGGGGGAGAGGATGGCTCCCATTGAAGCTAGCTTGGCGTCAAAAGTAATACCAAGAAAAACAGCGGTATTCACAAGACTCAACTCCTTACCATTTAAGAGCACATTGGTGTTCGAATGTTTAACGTTAGTTAAGTATTATAAATTTAATACATTTTGAATGAATCGCTAGTTGCAAAAGGGACACAATGACCTTCCATGGAAAGTAGCTCGAACCTTGGTCAGAACCACTGACATCTAAGGAGTACGTGTGCTGAACCTTTGTGACCAGGAACAGATTATAGAAAAAGGCACACTGGTTGGTACTTGTGAGGAAGTGGATTGGTTACGTCGGTGCCGATATCTATCGAGTGGGACCCCTAGCAAGGATGCACAAACGAGAGTGACCACACTTTTGGAAGTCTGTCGCAGCGTTCTCTCCCCGAACGAAATGGTCGAGGCGAAGAAGTTGTTACTCAAGTACGCCGATGTATTCTCATCAAACGATGCTGACATAGGAAAGACTGGCTTAGTTCAACACAAAATAAACACAGGAGAAGAATTGCCTATCCGTCAGCGGCCAAGAAGATTGCCGGTAGCACATGAAAAGGAAGTGGAAACCATGATTGAGGGAATGGTGAAGGATGGTGTTATTGAACCTTCATCTAGTCCATGATGTTCACCCGTGGTGCTGGTAAAGAAGAAGGACGGCAGCATGCGGTTCTGAGTTGACTACCACCGTCTGAACGACGTTACAAAGAAGGACAACTATCCCTTGCCAAGAATTGATGACACGCTGGACATGCTTACAGGAGTAAAGTGGTTTAGCACGCTGGATCTAAAAAGTGGCTACTGGCAAGTTGAAATCGACCCTAAGGACAAGGAGAAAACTGCGTTCTCGACGGGAAAGGGTCTGTGGCAATTTAAAGTAATGCCGTCTGGATTGTGCAATGCTCCAGCAACGTTTGAAAGGCTGATGGAGCTTGTACTTACCGGGCTAATTGGCGATGCCTGTCTGGTCTACTTGGATGACATCATCATCTTGGGACGTACATTTGAGGAACACCTTCAAAACCTGCAACGCGTGCTCATGAAGATTCAGAGTGCCAACCTCAAATTGAGTCCGAAGAAATGTTCACTATTCAAACGGCAAGTCAACTTTTTGGGGTATGTAGTGTCGGAAGAAGGTATCCGCACGGATCCGGAGAAAATCGCCGCTGTCAAGGATTGGCCGCTTCCAAAAGACAAGACGCAGGTTAGAGCATTTTTGGGTTTGTGCTCCTATTATCGGCGATTTGTGAAGAACATTGCAGATGTAGCCAAACCTCTGCACAAGCTAATCTAGGAGAAGCGACATTTCTGCTGGGATGAAAGTTGCAATATCGCATTCCATGAGCTCAAGGACCGTCTGTGCAAAACACCTATTTTGGGATACCCTGATGCAAGCAAAGAATTTATAGTTGACACAGACGCAAGTGATATAGGACTTGGCGGTGTGTTGTCTCAACGGAATGGTGACCAAGAGGTCGTGATAGCGTACTTCAGTCGTTGTCAAAACCGGAAAGCTGTGGTAAAGTCGTTGCAGCATTTTAGCAAATATCTTCTATGGCGGAAATTTCACTTACGAACTGACCATGCTGCACTAAAATGGCTATTGCAGTTTAAAAATCCAGAAGGACAAGTTGCGAGGTGGATTGAACTATTGCAGGAATATGACTTTGAGATCGAACATCGCAGCGGGAAATCTCATGGCAACGCAGATGGATTGTCAAGAAAACCTTGTCCTGAAAAACAAGAACGACTTCTTATCACCCGCAATCTGATGGAATGGTGGAACGATTTAATCAGACATTGGAGAGGTACCTAGCAAAAGTTGTAGACAATCGGCAACGAGATTGGGACGAGCACATACAACCGTTTTTGTTGTCATATCGAAGTTCTGTTCACGAAAGTACAGCAGTGACACCAGCTTTCGCAAACTTTGGAAGAGAATTACGGCTGCCGGCAGACCTGTTCACCGGGATACCACCTGATGCCCCACGCAGTATAACCGATTATGCAAGTGACTTGCGGAACAAAATGAATGACATTTATGAGCACGTCAGACAATCGGGCCAGCAAATGGCTGAGAAAATGAAAACCCGGTACGACCGCAAAATGAACAATAAAGGGTTCAACGAAGGTTCATTAGTGTGGTTGCACAATCCAGTCCGCAGCAAAGGGAAATCTCCTAAGCTTCAAGCTAAATGGGACGGCCCGTACCGGATTGTAACCAGGATCAACGATGTGACCTACCGGATACAGAAAGGCGCAAGAGGGACTCCTAAGATCGTCCATGTGGATCGCTTAGCGCGTTATTATGGGACCGATAATGCTCGGGACGAGCATGTCTTAGGAGGGGGCAGTGTTGAGTGAATAAGTCAACGTCATACACTAGCGCCATCTAGTGTCAGGAACGAGAGCGAGGGGAGCTTTGCAGAAAATGACATCACAAATCTTTCAACCGACAGCGCCATCTAGTCTCAAACCGAAGAACTAAGTTTCTAGAAAATCTACACTCGAACACTCGTCGCTTTGCGCGCATTTACTTGAATATTCCGGATGCTTCATTGCTAATTTGTATATACAGGCGCTGCAGGATGCGATCGGGGCAGTATTGGATTTGGCGAGACAAGCGAAGCTTCGGAGCGGAATAAAGTGAATTAGTGTGTTTAATTATTAGTGTTTTAAGTTTTAATTTGTGTAAAGTAAATTAAAGTGTTAATTTAGGTAATTTTATCGGCAATTTTTATTGTCACGAACCTCAAGCTCGTAACAATATCAAGAAAGTTTGAAGGTATTATTTTAAATTATTACACATCAACAAGTTTTAAATGTCAAAATTTATATTTATCCTTTAAAATTTACTTCAAACTTTAAACCTTCTGTAAAGGCGTTTAATTTAACTGCCGCAACTTTTAATTTTAGGTGTTAAAAATTAGTGAATTGTGTTGTTTAATGTGTTTATCTTATTACTTTTGTGATAAATTTTAAAAATTCAGTGAAGGTAAGTGAGAATCCGTTATTAAACTTCAAAAATGTGTTAAAATCACAGTACGTGTAAATTTATTGTTTAAAATGGGTTAATAGAATCTGTTGAAGGGGGAATAGAACAGTAACAGGGTTTAATGGAAACCTAGTAGGGAATAATAGAAACGCTTAATGTGCGAATAGAAACTAATGAGGGGTCAATAGAGATAAATAAATAGGGTTGTCAAAAACTGTTAACATAACTAAATAACTACCTTCATAGTTTTAGTATTAATAAATAGTAATTCCATTATATATAGGTAGTATCTTAGAGCTGTGGATTTAGTGATTGATAAATAAATAATATTTTAAAGTTACAATTTTAATTTACAGGTACATACCGCTGTAGGTAAATTCAACATGCCGCGTCTATACATACCCGATCCTACAAGGAAAAGGTATAAAAAATATGACACGGAAATAATAAAAAAAGCAGTGGAAGAGTATGTAACTTCTCGAAATGTAAAATTTGAAGAAGTTGTTAAAAATATAGTATACACAAATCGGTGTTGTATCGTCACAATACCAGGGATATGAAGCGACAAGGATGTCAAAGAGCTTTGTCCAATGAGACTGAAGTGTTCTTAATAGAAAACATAAACAAATGTGCAGAATGGGGCCATCCCCTAGATACTATGGATCTTAGATACATAATAAAAATGTATCTTGATAAGATAGGTATAACGTATAACCCATAAAAGATTTAAAAATAATTTTCCAGGACCGGATTTTGTGCAGGGATTTTGTGAAGAGTTTGTGAAAATATCAAGCGTGTGAGAGCTAAGGTATCTCCAGATACGATTAAAGAATATTTCATCGAACTTGAGAAATCTTTAAGTGTGTACCTACTTCTAACATTTTAAATTCTGACGAGACAAATTTGTCGGACGACGAAAATTGATTTGTATTTTGTTTTATTTCATTCAAATAATAATACGAATAAACTGTTAAGTATATTGTTTGATTTATTAAATAGTTCATTAACATTTCGTTAAAATGAAATCAGTTAAAATACAAGTATATTTATTTTTATAAATATAAATTGTTTAAATCACAAAATTTGAAATTCATTAAGCATTTACAAGAAAAAAAATTCAACACAGAACCTTA